AATGCCATTAACGATGGGCATCACAGATTTAAGACATGCTACCTACGCTACGTGACACTCACGGAATAGTGAAGGCTCAATAGGGATGTTGTCACTAACCGTAAATTCATGTTCCGTGTTAATTTTAATATAGTTTACTTGTATTATTAGAATTTTGTATTTTTTCAATTAATAAATCACTTGACTTTAATATTAATTTTAAAAGCTATATTTATCACCTATTGTCACGTAATTACAAACACTAATAGGAGCGCGTGACGTCACTAACCGCTAAACAAAAAAAATGTATTTATTTCCAAATAACTACTTATATTTATGTATTCTAACCGTTGACGTAGTATCCCCTAACACAAGCCTTACAGTTATGCCTAGCTGCTACGCTAATTGGCATTATAACGACTTAAAAATTGGTAAAATAGTTTTAAAAATAAAAATAAAATCCGGTGTAGTAATTGCTGTACTGTTACCATGGAGCACCCCCACTAGAGTCCGCATCACACAAATTTTGTTTGGAATCAAAATCGCCAAAGTCGGTGGGGTGCAGGGAGGTCAGCCCCGCTGTGATTGGACGCGTCAAGGTCAGATCATATACTCAGTGCAGCGAAGTGATGAGGGTAAGATCGATTTTAGAAAATATCGATATTTTCTATCGATAAACAATTTAGAATAGAGGCCTAATACTTTGGTGCGCAAATGCGTAATCATACCCTCTCCACTTTCTTTCAGCGTTCTAATTACATGACGCAACTAGTAACTACATACTAAATTATATATAAGCAACACAAAAAAAAATCACGTCCAGGACAAGAAGTATTAATGCAACGATATTAACTACCCTAGATACAACAACACGAACAAAATCGTGGCCGAAACGTGTCCAAAAGGTACATTGGACGATCCACGGAGGTCCGTAAGATGATCACGTGGTCAAAAACAATATAATGCCTTATTTAAACATTGAAAGTCATCTTTAATGCATACGGCATAATGTCTTAATTAAAATGCATGCGTCAAGTTCGTAAAATTTTACGATTTATTGTTATATGTGAAAGAATATAGACCTTATTTTTTTTTGACTTTTCACGCGCAATTCTGAATGCGCTGTTAGCAATATAGCAGGTACAGATCGCGAAGAAAAGAGATGGCTAAGGGCGACGTATAACCGACCATGCATTTCAATATCACAAATATTTTAAATTAAATCAGTTTATAGTAAGTATTACAACAATAAAATTTGCTTTAAAGGCGTTGATTAAAAAACATTAATTAGATACCCGTCGAAAAAACGACACTTTACGTACTATTAGTATTTTTCTGCATTTTTTCACGGAACTCTTTGGCATCTTGACATCTTCAACGGTCCGCGTGTGACTGTGTACTAAGAAGTGCTTGAGTGGAGTTCAAGCACTTCTTGATTGGGACACATTTTGAGCGCTCGTTGTGTATCTAGGGTATTTAATATCGTTAATTCTATGTCTTTATCTAGGTCATAAACTATGCGCACTTAATTTCATACAAATCCGTTTAACCGTTTTAGCGTGAAAGAGTAACAAATATGCATACAAATTTTCGCGTTATTTCAATTTTATTAGGATATGTTTGAAGTCAAATAAAAACTGTTGGTTGTATACTTATGACATCTATTATTGTATACGATGAAATAAATAGTTTTTACTTATTTTTTCCATTTCCATAGCTGACAAACTTATCGATAAACTTACGCGTTGAGACATGAGCTGCGTCTGAGTCACTAGCAATACACGTGCCGGTGTGAGAGCGAGATAGCATATATGATGTAGCCCATGCGAGAAAGGGATAGGGTAAAAAGACATCAACGCGTTCACCAAAAAATAAATACAATTACCAGCAATTTAATATAACAGTATTTTTGTCTTTTTGTAATGCATTGAAACTAACCAGTGAAAAGTAATACCATTTTTTTGAAGATCGGAAGTTGTACTCGACTTTCCACACAATTTAATTGCACAGTACGGCATTTTTTACAGTTTTTAACACGAAAACGAGAGAAGCAGTTCGACCAACGCTCGGTTACCGAATGAAACGATGTATCGCGACGTCTGTAGGCGTGCCTCACGCATAGGTAAAATACTACTTAAGCTTGGCGTAAGCGCTTGCCCTTGTATGCGGACTCTAGGGGGGGTGCTCCGTGACTGTTACATATGGGCACTGCACAGCATTTGTAAACTTTGTGTCCATTTTGATTGTTTGTATTCACTTTTTTTAGAGAAAAACACAATAATACGACAAGTTCTTGTGAATGGTAATCAATGTTTAGCGGTAAGTGACGTCAAATGACAATTCTGACTGCTGGGAGTTTTAGTGGGAAAAAATAATATTCCTAAAATGTAGTTAATTTTGTCATCTAAGGTTGAAAACTTTGTAATTAAACATATATTTATTTACAATAAACATGAGACTATCTTTAAAATCAGAGCAATTCCGAAAAATTGTCAACGTCCATATTTTAAGCCATAAAATAAAAGAAGACTTAATACATAAACCCCGAAAAACCCAATTAGGTATGCATACATTTTTGACATTGCCGAAGAAGGAGGCACCGATCTTTAATATTAAAACGATTACAATTAAAGTCCAGGGGGCCATTCGCCTAACGGAAATGCTTAGGAAAACGCTAACGCTTCCGATTACATTTTGTTATTTCTGACCACCGAAGATTTTCAAATACCTCACGCTCATTTTCTTTAATATTGTTATTACCAATGCAAAAGAAAAAAAAAACGAAAACAACAAAGAGCGCGAGGCATTTGAAAACCTGAGACGGCTAGAAATAACAAAATGAAATTGTAAGCGTTAGCGTTTTCCAAACATATCCGTTAGGCGAATGGTCCCCAGGAAATGAAGCATTTTTTCCGTCTAGCACCGATTTCTACAAAAATTTGGGATTAGGCTTATTTCACCCTCTAGTTCATTCTCGATATTGTGTCGTTGTCAAATACTTTATATAATACCTAGACTGTGCACGAAAAAAATTCGTCAATCTAAAGTAAGATTTATATTTGTAAGTCGCTAGTAAAAACGGTCCTTAGTGAGAAAGCACCCAACGGGAGTGTGTCCCTTTCTAACGTCTTACCAGCTCAATTTATCTTTGAGTTTGGTTGAAAATGTCATCCTTTTCTATTTGTGATTTACTAATTAATTACCGATACGAACGATTCGTAAACTATGAACCGTATTTAAACATTTCTACAGTTCCTATAAATAATAAAATAATCATTGACATTTTTAAAATAAATCTTAATACAGAGTAAAAGTAGTATTTAATTGGTTGAGCCTGGTAATACGGAATGTAAGATGGTGATTTGTTCACTTGATCGTTAAATTGATTTACCCGCTTTGATTTCAAATATTGTTAATTTGCTTATTAAAGTGTATTTTTTTAAATGGTGAACTCGTGTTGTGTTGTTACACAACACGAGTTGAATATTAGCACCCTGTTGGGTGTGAATGAACAATGAATCTATTCCCGGTAGCACTTTTTTATTTTCACGGGAATGTAAAACTTACAATCATATTCAGTAGGTGAACCATAAATTTTGGAGGTAGATGAGTTTTTTTTTTCTTAACATGAGTTGTGTGAATTTAAATACCGAATTAAACAGTTCATAGAACCTATGTACCTATTATAATTTTTAAAACCTACATAACTTCTTTTGGACTGCGTTTAGAGGTATATGCATAGATGAGGTTTGTCATATTAATTAACACTACATAGTCTAAGTTACGTAAAATAATAAGTTTTTGTCGATGTAACAGCGAAAAAACGGTGCCAAAATCAGGCATTGGCATTTATTACTATATTGTTTTTTTCGTATCTTTAGTATTTTGGGAGATATTTTTAAGAAAATGGTGGAAAACACGAAATTGAATAAATCGGTTTTCTAATTTCACAGGCACTTTAAATTGGTCAAACTTCGTGGGTGTATTAATAGTACATATATAAAGAGAATTACAGAAGGGTGGCGATCAATTTTAATTAGGGGGTACTTCAAGGGTTGTTTCCACAGATTTTTTTCGTAGAAAAAAGCGGGTACCGATCTTATTGAACAACTTATGATCAAACATAATTAGTTCAATTTTCATGCTAGACACATTGCTTTTGTTTGTTTGAAAGCTCTAATTAAATATGTACTTTAAAAAAGATTCTATGAGCTTTCTTCGAATAATGCAAAATTTTCTCGTTATTATGCTGTAAATCTTCCAATTTATGCATTTGACGAAAAAAGCTAAGCAGTAATTTGCTGTATCTTAGTTCATATTATTTTGTCATAGAAAAAATATAAAAACGTATTGTTTTCGTTTTTTTAAAAGCTACAATTTGACTCTCTACACTTTTTTTGATAAAATGCATATTTTTAGGTATTCGCAAAAAACTAAAAAAAAAGTCGATTTTTTCGTCAAAAATCTGTTACTTTCAACTTTGAATTACTCAAAAAATATTAGTTTTACGAATAAAACGTATAGGTATACCATTTTTTTCTTAGAATTACTTTTTTCCGTCGATTCCTACAGTTAAAATGGACCCCTTTCCACCCCCTGAGATGGGGTGGCAACCACCCCCAAGGCTCTAGCTTATGATATAGAAAATGATCCTTGAGCTGTTTACTACCTAAATTTCAAGTAAATGCATGGTGGACGAAAAATTGCGAGCCAAAATTCTTCATTTCCTGGACTATTAGGTACATTTTGCAATCCAAAAAGACCAACAAGTTGGAGGAGTATCTGTAATTTTTTTTATGATTCGTTGTGTATTATCAATTAGTTTTTTTTTTATGTTAGATTGTTTTGTTTTTTTTTTCCGTATATAAAACTATAGCAGAAACAAGTTGGAGTTTTTGATATAAGCGTTTTTCTTGTTAACTGTGATCCGACAAAATAAGAATCTGTCATTTTGCAAATCCAACCACGAGCGAACAAATGGAGAAAACTACTTTTAATAGCTAAATTTCTTTTGCTTTCAGCTAAAGGACTTCAGAGTGAAAATGGGCAACTTCTTGCCAAAATTGCCAAAAAATGACCCACCTCAATCAAGGACTGAATTCACAGGACTAAATGATTTAATGACATATTTATCTACAGAATATGGCAAGGAGAAATAACTTAAATGAAAATATATAATAGTTACATTACCATGTTACATTTATTTAGGATATCTGATTACAAATAGTATATAAAATTATGTAGATAGATCTTGTTTAATTATGTATTCCTCTTTATAAGCCGGGCCTACACTGCAGCTTGATTTACAAGTAAATATTGCTAATATGCCCCAATCAATACTGTTGGAATCGATACCAACATTGATGTAGTTCAATAACTGTGGCATAACCTAAAATAGAAATAGTACACATTAAAATGTATGTTTATAAAGCTAAGTTAAAAATAAGCTTGTTGGGGCAGTGGTTAACATGTTTGGACTGCCAATTTTTGCAATGTAAAGTCAGTATGGGTAATCAATAAAATTTGCAATCTCAAGCTCCTTCCTGCTTTGGAAGGTACATAAAGCGTTTGGTCCTGCCTGCATCTGCACTAGCCTCATAGTGGTGAGGTGGGCGATAGCCTGTACTCCGTATTCAACAGATAGGATAGGTTTGTGAAAACTGATGGGGTTCAGTGGGGTCTAATAATGATAAATGTGTAAAACACTTAAGTGACTTCTTTTAGTACTTACTTGAAATTCGAAATGTCTTTCCCCATCACAGTACTGGCATTTTGGTATATCTAGAACACTGTTTCCAGAATTCCCTGTTATCCAAAGTGGGTTACCACTTCTATCATATCGTAGTACTTGATCAGGGTGTCTAGCTATTCTTTTGTTAAATTTATTGAATACCTTATCTTCAGGCATTGTTTTTGCATATTGTTCAAGTTCTTCTTCACTTACATTATTTAAAGTACCATCCCTTTTATCCTGAATCATTTTGCAAAGTTTTTCCATCTCTTTATTTGTATCCACAGTGGAACTTTCTTCCTGTTAACACATTTATGTTAAAGTATACTGGTGGCTAAATTCATCATGTTTAATTTACCTATAGCAAGTTAATCATGCTGCTGTGGAAGAAGAAAAATACCATTCCACTTACCGTCCTATCATATTAGTTACATCAAATGAAAATATTTAGTAGATAGATATAGAACAGAATTACAAGTTGATTTACTAGCAGTTTCTGGTCTTGGTAATAAAAAATAATAATCCAAAATAAGTAAGTATCACCTTTAGAGCTTTGTTGCCATTAATTGAAGTACATACAATAGCAAAACTAAGCAGCAATTACCTCATCCTCTTCATCTACTACTAACTCCCATTCTTTAAACAAGATGGACTTGGCTGAATTATTCACAGTAAAATCACTTGATTTGTATGTGATAGACTTCTGAAATTGAGAATCAGATCACTAATTATGTAAAGTAAATACCTTAAATCAAATTTTAATGTAAGCTATATTGTACCTGTATTTCTGAACAGATTTCTTTATGGCCATTTTGCCAATCAATAACTTGATGTTTTCTACTACAATAATATACTTTTTTGCATTTCGAGCAATGAGAAGGTGACCTACAACCACAAATATTGCACAATTTGGGCCATTTTTCCATGTTAAATTCCTGTAAGAGATAAGTTTAGTAACCAACATTGTAAATGTCAAATCAGTAATTAACAGTATATGTTGATGAAAGACTCACCTCAGTTTCTTTTTCATTGTAAGGTTCATATGAATAATAATTATTTTTCCTAGGTAGCTGACAACGGAGAATCAAAAAGTTTTGAGTGGAGTTTGTTTGTGAGCATGAACCATTTCTGCATATAAATATAAATATCGTGCGATGAAACGCTTCAACGTCATCTTCATAGGGAGCGTAAACCTGAACATTTCAAATCATTCATTGAAAAGTTAGAATTAATAAATTAAAATAAAAAAGATAAAGATATTTTGTGTGCACTTACTTGGCATAAAAATATTAGAGGGTCATTACATTTTTTGCAGCTTAATTGAGAAGGGCTAGGTAAATCTTGTAAATTTAGCCAGGCTGGTTTTCCTCCAACTTTACTAGGAAAAAACCGGGGATGCAATTGCCAACTAGGCTTTTCTTCAAGAAATCCAACATCTACTTTTTGTAACGTCATATTAAATTAGTTATTTATTAAACTAACGATAAATAAATTGTACTTCTTGAGTGAAATTTGTATAGAAAATCACTTAACCTTAAAATTGCCAAAACATTCACACAACACATTTCTTTTTTTTTTAAGTTTTACGGCCGTGAATAGTGTTGAGTAGGACTTACAAGAGGCGGTACATTTGTCCCGGACACGACGTCAAAATGTAAGAGCGGCTCAAAATTTTAAAATGTACTACTTCACATTAAATGTCGCGATAGTCGCGTCTCGTTACTCACTCACTCTTCGTAAGTCTGAGAGAGAGCGAGGCATGACATTTCATTTGAGTCCTCTACGCACTAGAGATGGAAAAAACGGCTTATTTCTTAAAAGCGTTTAAACGTTGTACTTTTTAAAATGAGCGCGCTTGAAAAAAAGCTTTTTCGTTTAAACGCTTATTGGCTTAAACGTTTAAAAGCATGCGTAAAAAGCGCGACGTTGTGTTGTGTTTTCGTTTAGGTATATCGTTTAAAAAAGCGTGAAAGTTTATTGTCGTTTCGTTTAAACGCTTATTGGCTTAAACGTTTAAAAGCATGCGTAAAAAGCGCGACGTTGTGTTGTGTTTTCGTTTAGGTATATCGTTTAAAAAAGCGTGAAAAGTTTACTGTCGTTTTTAATGTGTTTAAGTGTTTTATTGCGTTTTTTCTTCTTATTAATGAAATTTTTATTAAAATTTTGTTTTAAACCTAATGAATTGATTGGCATTAAAAACGAAAGATTTTCAATTGAATTTAGATTTTATAATAAACATTTTTATAATAGTCAATGAACTTTCCTTCTTAGTTTACAAGCTTAGGACTGTCTGGAGTTAATATACTCGTGATCCAGGCGTACTTAAAAGTTCATTGATTTTATATACATACTTTTAACTATTTTATATGCACATTAAACCAATACACGAAACGCATTAACACGTCAAGCAAGCATGCAAACACACCGTACAACACCCACGCGCTCTTACCCCGTCACAGTGACAAGCGTACTGCTTTTCGACTTCGTTTAATTAAACGCTTTTAACGAAAAAAGCGTTGGTTATCCGACCAAATTTTAAAAAAGTGCATTTTTTTACGTCGCATTATAATAATTCGCATTCTGTATTAACCGGCTCACGAAAGATGGCACGCCGACGCGGCGCTGTAGTCGCGCGTTCTATGTCTGTGATATTGTGAAATATTTAGTACCAAGGAATTCCGCGTACCCATTTTACGATACTGTAGTGGACTAGAAGGATCGAAGTATGTAGTTTCCTGGCAAAGACATAGATGGCGGGATTTGCACTTTTTAAGTAAAAAAATACTTGCACTTTTTTAAGTGAAAAGCTTACTCACACTTTTTAAGTGATAAGCTTATAAAGCTTATACTTAAAAGCGTGCTTACAAGCTTAATATTTTAAGCGCGCTTATTTAAGCGCTTTTCGTTTAAATGCCCACCGCTACTACGCACTATCCATCTGTATCTCTATCTCTCCTTCCTAATCCTTGTCACTCGCACTGGGTTGCGTTCAAAACCTACGCTCTAGGTGCAACAAATATTTAAGTTGACATTAGCTTCATACATTTGATGTCAAAATTTAAACGTCAGGGTAAAAGTTGCACTCAGAGCGTAGGCATTGAACGCAGCCCAGGATTGCGTTCAGAACTTACGCTCCAGGTGCTATTCGTGCACACAAACGTAATGTCGAGCTTCTGTACGCCTCAATGTCATCTTTGTACTCGTCACTTCAAATGTATTGCCGAGCTTCAGTACGCCTCGCCTCATTTGAAGTGGGACATTGTACTGGCTCAGTAAAAAAAAGAGGCTACTCTTACAAACTCTTTTTCAAGTCGTGTCCTACCCAACACTAGCCGTGAATTTCTCCATTCCCATTTAAAAAATGACATTAGTGATGCAAAAATAATCGATTCCGTTAAATAGTTTATATTTTTTAATATCGGTTTGCGTAAGATATGTGACGATTTAACCGATATATCAAAACGAATCTATAAACCGTTTTCATTATCATATTTCTTTTCACAACTAGTTACGGACAGTTTTAACTAATGAAAATTAGCGCAACCACCCAACCTTACGTTATTCGAGATTCTCTGTCTTAAGTGCCTCATTCACGCATAACGACTTGCCTTACTATGTTAGAGATAAGCATGAGATAGTATTGTTCGCGGATGATACATCACTTTTATTTAAACTCAAACGTAAGGAAACAGTTATTGACGACGTGAACAGTTGTATCTCTAAGTCCACTGGTTTAATGTTAATAATTTATTACTAAATGAAGGAAAAACGAAATGTATGAAATTTGTATTACCTAATGTAAAACAGGTAAAAACCAGTGTGAATGTAAAGGATAGGAATATGGGCCTTGTAGACACCACAGTATTCTTAGGGATTACTTTAGATTCAAAGCTTCAATGGGGCCCACATATTGATAAATTGTCAAATACACTTAGCTCTGCAGCATATGCCGTAATGAAGATACGACAGTTAACGGATGTAGATACGGCCAGATTAGTGTACTTTAGTTATTTCCATAGTGTAATGTCGTACGGAATTTTATTGTGGGGAAACGCCGCTGACATTCAAACTATTTTTGTGCTGCAGAAGAGAGCTATTCGATCAATTTATAATAAAGTTAAGGATTCCTTAAGAGATAGGTTTAAAGAATTTGGTATAATGACGGTCGCGTCACAATACATTCACGAAAATTTATTTCTTGTAAGAAACAATATTAATTTGTTTCTTAAAAACAGTGATGTTCACACACTTATACAAGAAACAAAAATAAACTAACTTTACCTGCTACTAGGCTTCACAAAATCAATAATTCATTTAAAGGTCTTTGTGTTCGCTTACAAGGGCGTACCCAGGATTTCAGCTAGGAGGGGGCAGCTCATACCTGTTTCGAGAAAATGGTCGGTCGGGTATATTGAAACAAAAAATCATGAAAATTGACTTTTATTAATTAGTTTGATTATGACACAAAACAAAATATTAAATATATATAATAATCATAATCATTTTGCTCACCGAAGTGACTGGTGATCAAAAGGCTGGCAGCTATCTCGGTCAACGGATCAGCCTTGCCATCCAACGCGGCAATGCTGCCAGCCTATTGGGCACCATTCCTGATGGCGGCGCTGAGGGTGATATATTTTTTATTTTGTAAATAATTTATTTATGTAGGTTAGTAGGTTAGGCTATATAGTTTTTAAGTTTGTGTTATTTTAATGTATTGTAATATAATCTTAGTTTTAGTTAATGTCCATGAATAATAGTTAATATAAAAAAACATAGTATATTTCAATTTGTTTGCAACGCAATGAGGAAAAGGTTATCATAATAATTTAACATATATTAACACATATATTAATTTAAAAGTAATCTTCTCGGATTTGCCGCCGAAATTTTGTCTAAGACAGTCTTTTGAATAAACTCATTGTTATCTTTTAAATAATTGCGATTTACGCTTATCAGGCATAAACCCGTAAGCCTTTCTTCACCCATGGTGCTTCTAAGCCACGTTTTAACTCTTCGAAGCGTACTGAAGGATCGTTCTACGGTCGCCGTGGTGCATGGGATAGTGCTTAAAATAATCAATGCCTTTCTGACAGCAGGGAAAAAAATATTGGCTTCGTTGAACAGATCAACTACTTCTATATCCCTTGATTGATCGTCTGATAAAGCATTCTTCATCCATAAATTATGCCAAAGGTTCAGTTCTCCAGTGATATCCAGGTTATAAAATTCTTGGAATGATTCTGCGTTCTTGTGATAGGGTGCGGCCAGAGTGCACTCAGATTCAGAGTCAGATTCAGATTCTGAAAACAAGCGCGAGAAATAAACAGTGTAGTCGAAGGGTACGGCCAGATTGCACTCCTGATTCAAATTCAGATTCAGACTCAGAAAACAAAGCGCGAGAAAAAGCAAGCAACCTGCTTAGACTACACTGTTTATTTCTCGCGCTTGTTTTCGAAATCTGAATCTGAGTGCACTCTGGCCGCACCCTAAGTCTGTAATGCTGGTTTTGGTCATATACAAGGGATGTAGCTTACTTAAAGCAAACGCCGGAGTATTTTCTTGGGAGAATCGAATATTCAACGATGAAATGAGTAAATCAATGTATGGTATTATCAGTGAACGCCGCCAATATTCGTTATCATTGTCAGATGGCGGATTACTTCTATGTGTTTGCTTATGAGCAAGACGTGGAACCGAAATTTCTATGTTCAAATCCATCTCGCGCTTTTTGAAGCATTTCATTACTTATTTTATCAGGAAACTCGTGGTCATTTCTGAGAATGTCCTTGATATTTTTGATGTGTTCCCCCACCGAGATCATGTCGATTGATTTAGCTTGCAGTGCGTTAACTACTGGTTCTAAAACTGCTGAATATTTGGCTATTGTTTGTAAAGCAACAATAAACACTGGTTTAGTAACGGCTGAATGTAACTGATATGCAGATTTTCTGGTGGCATAATTTCCCTCTACGGATAACGTTTCTAGAGATTTCACAAGCTCTAGAAAATGTTGAGAAAACTTTCTGATTGATTTATATTTTTCGGACCATCTCGTCTCACACAATCGTGATAGGTCTGGAGCGTAGTTTCGACGAGTAGTCGATTCTCTGAAAAACGTTATAACATACTTAACAGTGGCGACAGTATTTCTAATTTCTGGCACTGCGTTCGCATCATTCACAAAAAGGTTGAGTTTGTGACTTTGAGCAATGAAAATATAAAGCACGAGGATTTTTTTTTCTCAAAATGGCTTGTACGCCACCCTCTTTCCCTGCCATTGTAAAACAGCCATCGAATCCAAACCCCACGCAATCTTCTGTTGGGAGATTAGAACTAATCAAGAAATTGTCAATTGCTTCGGCAATTGCTGAAGCATTTTGTGCTTTTAGTTCAACGAATCCTACAAATTCTTCTCTGATTTTTCCTTTTGCTTTCGTCGTAGAACCGCACGCCTATTGATAGCTGTTCTTTCCCAGCTACGTCTGCTGTTTCATCAGCTAAGACTGCGTAAGCCATGGTCTTCTGAACCTCACTTATTATATTCTCCTTAATAACTTCGCCACAT